AAGAACTTGCCCATGCTGAGATCTGCTGGAATGCCAAACTCATTTGTTAAAGGGTACGTACGAGACCTACCACTTCAAATAGAGAATGTCACACACATTTTGTGCAAAGCTACGTATTAACGTGTTTTCGTCAGGAGACCGGCATGTGAAAGTGGCATTGTGCTCACTCTGAGTCAGACTTCCTTGTAATGGCGGCATTTGGGGGTCTGCCCAGCAGCAGCACTCAGCAGGGCTGTGACGGTTCCCACCTGGTTTTTGGGTCCTGAATGGAACTTCAGAATTTACCGATGTCATTAAAACTTAGAGTTCACTATTTTAAGTATCTGCTTTTAGATATTAGGAGAGAAGAAAAAAAGTGCAAATCAAGAGGGTATTTTCATTCCTGTTTTCAGCTCTGCCTTTGCAGAATTAAATATAGCTTTGGCTACGCTGAAAAGGCAACTTTTATCCTCTTCATTCTAGACGTAGTAGCTGAGTAGCTTGTATGTGGGATCATTTTACTTTCTTGGTGTCAGGCATCAGATGCCACTGGAAGCATAATACAGGGGTACACTTAAAACATCTCATAAAGCCATTTCACCTATCTTCAGTGAAATGGGTGAGCATTTTATCTACTGAAAGGCAGGATTCAGGCAGTATTGGATGACAGAACGGGGAGTAAAGACTCCCTCAGCAGTCAGTGACAGCAAAGGAAAAGCAGATCAGAAGAGCTGCTTGCACGCACACTGAAGGCAGACAGGAAAAGGAGCAAGTCCCAAAATAAACACACTAGCACCATGTTCTGCCTTGCACTTAAGCTGAACTTTTTTGCTATTTAAGGCAAACCAAAGGGCCCTAGTTGATTATTGCAAATGTTCTATTTTCTGGTTGAGAAATTAGTAACTTTACTGAACACTCATTGTTTTGGGGAAGTTGCCTTATCCTTCCAGACCAAGCAGAGGTAAAGCGAAAGTCTCCTGTCCTGAAGAAAGAAGCCTGTCCCCAGTGGAAACACTTGTTTGTCTTTGATGGTGTTACTCCAGCTCAGCTACAGCAATCATGTCTACACTTGACTGTCTGGGACCAGTCAGCTTTCAGCTCAAGCGATCAGTTCCTAGGAGGAGCCAAGCTTGGTGCAAGTAAGTTCTTTATCACTAAAAATTGAAGGTAATTTGGGAAAAAAGTTCATTTAGTTTACATTCTAAATAATAATATTTTCACTGTGCTATTTACTACCTGCTGTCACGTGCCTACACATACAGCCCCAGCCCCTGACCTAAGTGACTTGCAACCAGGCTTTGAGCCTGCAAGAACGGATGCATGTGTTTTAGTTCAGGTCTGTGCAGAAGCTCAGGGGTGTCAGGGGGAATTTTCGGGAAAGCCATTTGTTAGCATGGTAACTTGTAGGGCCAGAGCCTGGCCATGCAGAAGACGGCCACAGAAAAGTTGGGTGGAGTCAACTCATCTAGAGCTTTTTTTGAGACATCATCCTTGAGCTGTTTTCTATGCATTGGCTACTTTTAACTACTGTCTATTGCATCAAAATGAAGCACAAGAACTAATGAGCCAGTAGACTCCCATCTTGCTTATATTTGTGCTTATTATTTTACATCCACAAATCAATCAATGGGAGATACGGAAAGTGAAACTTGCTCAGGAAGGCCTAGTGCACGTCTGAGTTTTGGGCTCTGTTCTGACCTAAGAGCGAGCCCTCTTTCTCAAGGGCGAGAAACCCTCTGCTCACTGAACGGGCTCTGCGTAACTGGTAGCTGAGCAGGGAGGTGTTGTCACGTGAAGAGTGCCCAATGGAGTCTCTCAGCCCAACTTCCCAGAGAGTAAGTGCGTGCTTTGGTTTCAGCATTTGAGATGAAAGGCTTAAAAAGATTGCGGCTTGATCACCTTCTTAGGGTATCAACATGCACTTTAGAGGGGTATTATCACCAGTAAGAACTCAGTGCTGTGCAGGCTTCCTCATGAGCTTCTTTTGACTGTCCTACTCAGCATTTTTCCTTTCTGCTGCCTGCCTGCTTCTGAGTGAAGAAGACTGTCCAAGCCCTGAGCCTAGTAATGCCTTAAAGTCACTGGAGATGAACTGAAGCAGGAGGCTTCGTGCCATTCTGCTACTTTTAGTATTGATACTTGCTCCTCTGCTTTTAAGGCATACAACCAAAAATTTTTTCTTTGCTGCAAGCTGAGAGTGAGTGATCCTAGTTTAACAGGATGTCAATAATGCTTCAAAAGTGTAGCCCCAATTTATTGCAATGAATGCCTTAGGAGCTACAGAACAGCCAAAATTGCTGTAGAAGTGGGAGAAGCAGGTTGGTTGTTACCTAGTGCATTGGGCCGGAGTCGGGTTAAGGCCAAGTGAAAAGTAACGCTGTGACCTTTCCTTTTGCTTTCTCGCAGAGGAGCCCTTTGGCTGTACAGACCTTGTTTCTCAGTCAGCGCTCCACTGGCAGGAAGTGCTGCGCAGTCCAAACACGTGGACGGACTTTACACTTGCACTGCATTCAAATAAGGAAGACTTTAAGTCATGAGAGATTACCGCACAACAACTTTTCCTTCCCCACGTGTGAAGTTTTAAATTCAAGCGGCACGTACCTTTCAGGGCTGGGGAAAGGTACACTGCAACAGTACCTACTCCAGCTTTTGGGGAATAGAGTTATGCATTTGAAAGTGTGTGACATTCTGAAGGTTTTATTTCTCCAAAAGTTAAGGCTTTGTTATCTGTGGCTCTAGCTGGAGTACAAGGTTAGTATTGTTTCTTCAGCAGTAACAAACTCAGTTTGAAATGCATTATGCTGATGAGACCGAGAGTAGCCAGATGATACACAGTTTTCCATTTCTGGGTGCAGCAGAACTGTAATTATTTAATTTAATCACAGATAAGAATGCTTCTTAGAGAAAATAACTGTTACCTTAAGAAAGTTATATGCTTATATTGATCTTGATGTTTTATACATGTTCAGAGAGAATTAAAAAGCAGCTTATCTTTAACTGCTTGTTGCAAATGGATGATGCCAACACCTCTGTGCTTCAGAATTATCTGATCTATAGTGCCAGTATTATTTCACATGACCCTAAAAAGCTCTGGGCTGTGGCCACACGCCTTTCAAACGTGTGCTGTATCATGGTGTTTAAAACCAACTAAATGTATAAATTCTCCCTCAGCAGGAGTGTGGGACAACAGCTAACAGAATAAAGGTAGTTGTAGGAAGTTCCTTGTTCTTATCAGCTGCTGATGTCAGAGAGTACTAACAAGTGCTGTATACCATCTGGATCAGACAGGACAAGAGTTTAGCTAAACTTATTTATTCATGTGAACTGGTGGAAATGTAAGCTTAAGGCCCAACTACTGCGTCAGTTCGCTTTGCCTCAGATGTAGTGTTACAGTCAGCAGAAACTTTGTGTATATATATAAGTGTGTGTGTATATATACTTATATATATGTTATATTTATATATATAATATATATATAAATATTTATATATGTAACTGTAAGTAGTGCTGCTGCTCTGTACCTCTTCCCTGGGACTTGGGTGAGGATGGTCACACAAGTCATTACAGCAAGTATTCTCCTTTCTTCCTTTCCAGGTCAATGGGGCTTTTAAGGACTTAAGAGTTAAAGGCACAAGGATTCATCTCTCATAAGAGAGCAGTTAAGCTAAGCACACCTCACACAAAACACACCCCACACAAGAAACGCGTGACTCCAAGTCCTTTGTTACTTTGCAGATCTTTTATTTAGATGTTTGCTGCTGCAAATAAAAAACCACACAAGATTCAACTCAAGTATAAAGCAGCATAGATGTCGTAACTGGAAGAGAAGAGCTGACAACATACTGTATCTCACTTTCTAACAGATTTTCAGGGAAAGGGGGAGATTAGTGGGGAAGGAATGGTCACAGAAATGCTCTCTACTACAGAGAATACAACTGTGATATAAACAAGCAGTCCCTTCATCTTTGGAGTCTGAAACTTTAAATCAAACATTTAAAAAAATTAGAAAATGTGTTAGAAAAATAGGTGCAGTAAAATTGTATATATTTGATCATGTGTACATATAACAATTTTCATTAAGTAAAAAAATGATCTTTACAAATAACGCTTTATAGCAAATAATCAGCTGCACTGCATCAGACCACAGTGGTGTTTAGGCATTTTTACAGATGCAAGTCTTATTAAATCTGAAAAGTAACAAAATATACAGAGCAAAACTATTTCCCTTTAAACTAGTATTGCATGTTTTTAATATATATATAAATACTACACCATAACTGATCAGTAATGAAGCTGGAATGCAAACACAGTAGTGTATTAGATTCCAACAGCGTATTTGCCTAGTTGTTGCGTGAGGAGGGTATCGGTGTCCCTGTGCCACACTTCTAAGCCATCACTGCAGAATTTCTCCAGTTGAGAACAGCAACCAGAAAAAGCCCAATTTCTACACAAAGTAGTTCGGAGGTGTTGTCAGTTCTTTTGTGTGCATGTGGGAAAAGGTGGGCACCAAGACCAAGACAAAAAACAGGGTGTAAAAACATATGTGCACACATGTAGACACCTACATACAGGTGCTTGCAAATCCTGAGTTCTACAACCTGTCTTCCCAACTGTTGGACTTTACACTGTAACTAATAATACAAAGGCATATGGCACAAAATTCACCCACAGTTGCTTATTTTTAGACCAAGCTGAATCCAGCATCTGCACAGGACATGGATCTTCAACTAGAAGCATGACCTATAAAAATCTGTCTTGCTTAAAGAGAGCTGTGACATGAGGCCTTTTGGCACTAAGCAAAGGCATGAGCAAGTCACTGGGATCAGTGGTACAATGAGTTTTTAACTATACCAAATTTAATAGAAGGTATGGAATAAAAGGGAGATTCGAGCACCTCAGGGTTTAGAGAACATTTGGTAAGTGTCATACAGTGACCCCTCCTCGGGGCGGGGGGGGAGGGGGGGGGAACAAACACAAAAAAAAAAAACCCACAACAAAAAAACCCCAAAACAAGAACACAGCATTAAGATCTGCCTTTCCCACAGTCCTGCCTTCTTGTTACAAGCATCATTACATCGCCTCAAACTCATCGATTCTCTGCTTAGTGTTGCCTTGCCGGATCTGCCGCAGCGTCTTGTACTTGTCACGGCCCTGTCGCATGTTCTCCGAGTGGATAATATCATTGTGGGTCCTCTTATTTTCATCTCTAGCCTGGGCCAGCTCATCCGTCAGCGCCTGCAATATAAGGAACATTACATACAGATTATACACGAGAAGCTTTCAGCTCGTGGCAGTAGTGTTCTTTGGCGAGAGCCGAGTGTTGTTAGATGACTGGACAGATCAGTGAATGGACGCAACATCTGCCTTCCATAAACACTCCGGATGATGTACGTAAGCTCAAAGCCTGAGCAATGAGAATAATCTTTATATACTTTGTCTTTAATTCAAACTGCCTACAGGAACTGTAAACAAAGAGAAACTATCATGCTTTGTGTGTGCTTAACCAAGTGGTTAAATGTTCTCTTTTCCAGGAATGATTTGTTTCATTACTCCCCCCCTCCAAACGTTTTCTTACCTTCAGTTGCCTCTGTACACGTTCATTCTTCTCTGCTTCAGTAATGCGTTTCTCCTCGTTGCGGTCATTCTTGATCCCCTCGCTGGAGAACTCTGCGCTGTAGGCAGAGTACTCGGATCCTTCATCTTGCAGGTTATCGTGGACATGGTAGTTCACTGGCTCATAGACGGGCGGTGGGGGTGGAGGCGGAGCAGTCATTACCAGGTGTAGCTCCTCTTTTGTCTTTACCAGATCCTCCTGGGCTTCCTTGGCCTTTGGGAAAAGAGAGAAAAATATTTTCATGCGTTTCTTGCTTTACACCAGCTGAATGAACACTTCAGTGCTTACCTTCTCAGTTTTGTCAACCTACAATGAGAAGCAAGAAAGAGGGAAGTAAACCTCTGCAGCTGACAGTACTCTGTTAGTCTTACGCAGAACTTTTCTTTTTTTTTTTTTTGCTAGGGATGCTATCATCATCCACTGTGTAATGTGCAGGGGATCTAAACAAAGAATTCTTCCAATAAAACACAGTCTAGGAAAAATGGTTCTGTGGGATGTTAAGTTATCTCCATCCCGTTCTCCATTTGAAGAGCTCTAGGTTGTAAATATGGGTTCCACAGAGCAAGAACTTAGATTCCTGAGGTGGCATTTTTAATGCAATTATGCACGAGGCAGTCAGCTTCCTTGCTGCTTCAGTGGTTCTGCCCTCCCGCGCAGGCTGCGGTGCTAGGCAGAGGGCACTGGGAGCACCGGGCACTCCAAGCCTTGCATGGTTTACTTCTGGGTTTAATGCATCAAATTATTTAACTCTCCCAACCCAGGTACCAGGAAGCCACCGACAACAGCACACGCTCCTCAAGACCGATACCTGCGGTGTGGCTGCATTTGCAGCATCTTCTCTTGATTGAGCTAACGTTTTCAGATGTTATATCATGGGTTAAATGCATCATTTACACAAACACCCCTTCCCCTCCATGGCTCCAAGATGATGAGCACATTTTTAGGTTTTATACAGGCTTCCATTTTGAATTTTGACTGAAGGCTTGTTGGAAGAAAGGTGTTTTGCAGGAACATTGCACATTCATCACAAGTCTGCCCTTCTCTGCTGGTGTACGGATGTTTGTCTCCACATGTTTAGAGAGGTCACACCAGGCTAAGCACTGGGGTATGCTCTGCTCAAGTGCAGAACTTCAGAGCAACTTTGTAAAACAGGGATACTCACCCTGATTTGCCACTCTTCAACCTCACTCTCTTTACGCCTCCTTGCCTCTTCAAGAAGTGCGATCTTGGCTGTATACTCTGCAAGCTCTGCAGCCTGTTGGATAATAAAACTGGAATTATAAGGACTCTTAAAAAGACCAAAACAGACAAAAACCCAAACACAACAACGAAACGCTGTTGACTGAGAACAGACTCAAGTGTTACACTCCACTGTAATGAAGACTGAATAGGAAAATAAGAACAAAAAGTAGATTGCTCATGATAGAAACTAGTGCCACAACGATGCTATCACATAGTCTAGTACTTCACTGCACTATGTGTTTTTCCCCGGAGAACAAGGCTTTGCCTTACTCTAAGGGCACAGTAACACCCCGGTATAGCTTATCCTCAAAATGACTGGGTCTTACCAGCTGTTCCTGGCTCTTCATTTGGTCCATAGTTTGTCTCTCCAGCTCTTCCTTGGCCTGCAGAGCAGCCAAACGATCGGCTTCCAAGCGTTCCGCTTCCTCCTGGGCTCGTCTCCTTTCCTCCTCCAGCTGAATGGCTCTTTGGATCTGATCCGAGAGCTCTGGAAGAAGACAGATCAACGTGGTTAGTCCACAAGCCTGGCCAAAGCAAAGGGACTACAGTCTCTTAGGTAACTGCAGAAGTCATGACAAGCACCTGACTCCAGCTTGCAATATCCCTTCACTGTGCACCTCAAAGCAGTTATTTGCATAATGCATCAGGTAACGGAATTCAGAAGTAGTCAGCTGCACATTACAATTAGATCTCCTGGAAGATATCTGCACTGAAGTCTGTAATGCTGACATGATTCTGCCGCCCTTAATTGACAGTTTACTGCAAGGACCAGATGTTGCTGTCTCCAATCTGCTCATCTGTGCATTGAAACAGAAGCTTCCATTTCACTGGAAAGACTTGTTCCCAAAGTACTTTTTCTGTTAGCAGTTAAGTAAAAAGTACTTGAGAGCTGAACTCTTGCTCACTGCTGGAAGAGGCTATACTAAAACCCTCTTGGGCAACAGGGGAAAACAGAGTTCGTGCCCTTCAGTTCCCAAATACAAATCAGCAGATTTTATGCTACTTTCATGCTTTGGATGATCCCAGCAGTGCACGCACATGTGTGTATTTATCCATATGGGTAGATATTAGTAAGCCCTACCAAGAGATCCCAGTGTCACCAGATTTAGGCTAGGTGTAGGTAGCGACCCATATAACCCTTCTATGGAGCACAAGACACATGCCAGTACAAGTACTTTACCTTTCTCTGCTTTCTGAGTCTTCACCTCATACTCTTGTAGCCTCACCAGCAGCTCCTCCTTTTCCCTCAACATTTGCTCTTTCTCCCTCTCAATTGTCTCCCTCTTCTTCTTTTCATCTTGTAGTTGTTTCCTGTTAGAAACAGATTTCATCCTTGAAGCTCACTTTCAGACCTAAGCGACAGCAAGGCAAGAAAGCTGGCTGGGCATCTCTCCAGGCAGTTCAATGGGAAGTGACTGCCACAAAACAAGAGCCAGAAGACAGAAATACGTATAGTCTGTTCCTTCAGCACTTCAAAATTTTTGCTCAGTTTTGAATACCCCATTTCATAAAAGCATTTGTAGTTTTGTTGCCTGCCACAGAAATTTAGAACACCAAATAGCTGCTAGATTCAGAGAGAGAAAAACAGGACTCTACTGCACAGCAGAGATTTAACTTTAACTTCTGTCAGAAGGAAAGCCAAGGGGATGTAAGAACAAGAACACTGAGGGAATGAAGACAAACAGAACAGCAACATGATTTCTTGAATCATAAGCAACCTGCAGTCAGTGGTAGCAGTCCAACGGAATTGTTAATCCTTTTTCCTTGCCTGTCAGAAGTCTCCCAGTCCCCTCTTCTCTGTTCGCAGCGTACACACACGCTCCCTGTGGAGGTTTCTCACTCACTCCCAACCATCCCATGGTCCAACACGTAAATCAGGTCCTGACACTCAAAAGTCAGGAGAACGCCTCTCTAGGCGTACGCCACCACACGAGAGCCCACTGTGCCTTTACTTGCATGTTTCCTTGCAACATTCAAGACTGCAAACAAGGCCGCAGGCCGCACGGCCACAGGTCCGAGGCAGAAGAGCAATGCTTACAGTCCCGCTGCAGGGTATCCCGAGTCGTCCCCCCCCCCCGTAAGCCAGAGCTGTAGGGCCACAGACACGCTTTATGAACGTGGGACGGCTCACGGCCTCGCCTAAGCGGAACCCACGTTAGCTCCTGCTGCCCTGCAAGTGCAGCCGCCTGCCGAACCCTGGCAGCTTGGGGTGGTTTCTCTCTGCCACCCCATCCCCGCTGTCCGTATTCAAGCTCACCTTTCCAGTTCTTTCTGGTGCTTCTCCTCCCGGGCCTGGGCTTTCATCTGTTGCACCTCAATGGTGTCAGGCTTCCTGCGCCGCATATACAGTTCATGGTTGCCCATGCAGAGCTGCAGGATCCTCTTGTTAATTCTCAGACGAGGGGCGTAAAACACAAAGTCCTAGAAGAGAGACACCACGCAGTCAGTTTTCCAAGCCCGCTTTGTCTTCTCTCAGCTAGCTGCAGACTAATCATCTTGCCGCTAATTTCACTGTAATCGAGACATATACGCAGGCCATTTAAATATAGCAGCAGGGACTGCCAATATCCTCTGAAGCCAAAGCAATTGTTATTTATATTCTCCATTTAAAGTCTACATAGCATTGACAAGTTACTCTTCTAGAAAAAGTATCTTTTAGAGAAAATTAACAGTCTCCATTCAGAGGAGACTTTCTGGAGTTTGGAAATGTAGAAGATTGAGTTGGCGGGTAACGATCTGGGCAACTTATAGACCTCTAGTATTGAGTAATTAGTTTTCAAGTTTGCATGGTTTTGTGACTGAAAGATAAAGCATGAAACTAAAAATGTGTTGCAGACTATTAAAGTAACTTTGTAGAATTTCCTGATCTATTTGAATCAATACTGAAGGCACCATCTGTATTTTTTCAGAGAAAGAGAAGAAATACCTTCCAATATCATTCTTTCCTCTCCATGGCATTTCCTAGTTAAGTTGACCTAAGCTGTTACAAGAGTGTCAAATGAAAGCTATTTTTTTCGAACCACCAAACATAGGGGTTATTTTGAACATTGGGTTGCAGGCACTAACAAAACACAAGATATTCTAAAATTTCTGGTTCTGCAAAAAGAACAGCCCCGAATTTCTTATGATCTGTGTTATAACCAGGCACTTACAGAAACTATACGCCAGACTGGATCTTCTAGAAGTGCATCTGCTAAGAAAGGGATACAGAGGGCCAAGTTCATTACCTGCCTGATGAATTTTCTGAGTCCACAACGATACACATTTACAATGCAGTCTGAACTTACCCAGTGAACATACTCTGCATCTTTGTGCCTTTTTTGTGTACTGTGTGGATGGCGATATGGGCAGTGGGCAAGCTGCCACCCTACCACCGTAAACCAGTACCCATTCTTTAGAATCACTCTACTATGGATTGCCTCGCTGTTAGCAAGAGGTAGAACTGAGAAGGGGCACACAGAGGCTCTACACTTTTGCACGGCAGCAGTGATCATGTTTTTAATTGCCTGAGCTCCGAAGCGCAAGTTGTGGCTCTGGGAAAACTAGAGGTCACACTAGAAGCAATGAAGAGCTCTCCAAGCACTATTAAGATGAACATGAATATGCTGACAAAGACTCATTTTCTTCAATGCATCTTCCTAATTCACATACTGGCTGCAAAAGAGGCAGGCAGTACGGCGTGCTGTGCTCCCCCGCTAAATCCGGCCAGAGCCATTCTGAGCTGCGCAGGTCTGATACTGCTAACTGTACCTGCCAGCTATTCATCCCACCTCCTACTTCTGGCAAGTATTTTTAAAAACAAAGAGTTTGTGTACCTTGTGATGCACGGGTCCTATCCTGAGGGAAGGCTGACCTACATGGAAGTAAATACCGAGGGCATGGACGGTGGTTGCGTTTGTCATTTAAGGCCGTGACCGAGGGACAAAACACTCACAAAGGAACATAAAAGAATCCCCTCCTTTCTTCACCCCCAGCCTCCCACTGGTCTCACCCAACTGGGAGCATTGCAGCTTGATATTTTAAAGATAATGTGCTGAAGATGTTAGCCTACATGGGCATACAGGCCTAAAAATTGAAAAGCTTATTCTGGGGAAGGTGCCACAGGACTCTAGCTATTACATTAGTGCCCATTTAAACACCGATATTTAGAATCTTCCAAATTAAAGGGGAGGACTGAGTATTTTGCTGTAGTTATAATACTTGGTTTTTTGAAAGGATGCACAAACACATGAAAAGATCCAGACAGTTTCCTGAATGCTCAGAATTAGTGTCCAGATAGCTGCTGCTTTCACACACAGCGTTAAACGTAACACCACTCAGAGAGAAAAGGACAACTGAGACAGGGAGGAAACACAACTGAGGTTTTCAGTGTTAACACCTTTCTGTAATCAGCCTCTTGCAAGTCTCCCATTTCAAACTCAATCTGATCTACTGTTGGGGGGTGGATGGAAAGCTGTGATCCATAAACAGGAGATTAATATTTTGTAACGTGTACAACATGTCCAAGAGGCTCTCCTACTGAGAAAAGCATGCCTGACGGAGACCAACTTTCTACCGCTGTGGAGTTTTGTTGGCTTTCACTAACAGCATCACAGAAAGAAGCTCCTCTCCCCCCAGCCCCCAGGCTGTTATCTGGAGGAAAGCCCTGCAGCACACTGTGCATTACTATCCTTTAAATTATTGGGAGGATGTTTTTCTGTTAGAGAGATCTATAAGCCATCACCCTTTGCCAAAGCCAAACTGCTTATTATTTCTCAGGGCTGTACTTACCCACCAAGGCCAAGTACTGGGGTGGGGGAAGAGAAGAAGAGGAGGCCTTTCTCAATTATTCCAATAGTTTCACAAGACTGACAGAATGAGATCCACCTATACCAGTTATTCCACTTTATGTTCTCAACAGGTCAAAGTAAGTTGCTAATTCTTCACTAAAATAACTCTGAAAACATGTTTCTAAGTATTGAAAAGCAACGTTCACAGGTAGCAACATTTCACTTCTCCACAGAAATCATATCCTTGCCATTTACCCTAGTATTCAAGAAGGTCAATGAACACCATGGTCCTTAACTGGCTTTTACTCTTTCAGTAGTGTAGAAGTGAGCAGTGAGCATTAAGATGGGAAGCCATATGTATCTATGTGATTTTGCAATAACATTTGAATGATTTTTGTGGGTTTTGTTGTTTTGTTTTTTTTTTTTTTTAAATGAACAACAACAAAAAGTTACCCACCAGCTTCCATGCACTGAAAGAAATGGGGAGAGGACTAGTCTCAGTACAATCTGGCTACAAGACGACTCACAGAACTAGCAGAGAGTCTCAGATTTAAGTATAAGGCTACCTAGTTTGCTAGGAAAAAAGAAAAAAGAAAAAAAAAGGACTCTGCAGTTGTAAAAGCCCCGTCTTCTTTGTGTCAGATACCACCATAAGCCCTTTATTTATGCTGCACAGAAAACCAGACAGGTCTAAATACACCCTAAATACTAAGGCTCATTTTGCACCTGGAATATCTGCAGCTTTCTCTTCTCCAAAGACTACTTTGTTCTGAGATGAAACAGTATTAGTTGTTCACATGCAGTATCCAGGAATCCATTCTAGATATACTTACTGGTGCCTTCTTGTCAATAGGCTTTATAACAAACTTCTTGTCATTGAAAGAGATGTTTCTGATTTCGCTCCAGGGGAACCCAATCTTTGGAGTCAGTCTGGAAAGAAGAGAAATATTTTTAAGATATGCTGCAATGAACATTTTGTTTTTCCCCACATTGCTTCTAACATGCAGACTCAGGGGGATGCAACACTTCACACAGCTCTCCCAACAGAGAGAAGACAGTAGTTGAATCAAAAACCTCCAGGGAGTAGGTAGTTGAACCAAAAACCTCCAGGGAGTAGGCAAAGAGGCCCAGTCACCTCCCTTAGAGAGTCTCTTCTCATTTTGGTCAGCCACCCTACTGCCCTTTGGCTTTGCAGTAGGGATGGTCTCTACGGAAGCCATGCACTCAGCTTTACCACACACCTGCTTTAAAGTTCATTTCTTTAAAATCGGGGCCTAAAATCTGCAGCAGGCAGACTTCAGGTATACGTGCTGTGCTTCCAGAAGGCTTCTCATACATCATGGGAGGCATAAGCCAAGGTAACTCAGCCGCTCCCCACACCTTCTAGCACCCACAGAGAAGTCTGTCCTGCTGCGTTACAGCTAGCCCAGTTACCTCCATGCCGCCTTCACTCCTGAAGTGCTGGGCAGGCACAAACACAACTGGTAGAAGCAGATTTCTTGTCTTTTGTTTCCTCCCTAGATTACAGGCAAGGCTAGTAACAAAGAGCCCTGTTCTTTCCTTCCACGCAAACTGCTCTTTCAGCCCACCCCACTAGTCACGAAGCAGAACTTTACACGTTGGTCGTGCAACGAGCTGTGCCACGTGGCGCTCTCCTATCGGAAGGCAGCCCTATGAAGCGAAGGGCAAGATTCAGGCTCCCAGCTCTTCCTTGCTGCTTAGGAGTTCGGGTCTGTTGGTTTGTTTAAAATTACTTCTTTAAGCTTCACTAATCGTTTGATATTTTCCTCTGCTTTAATTTCTCCAGACTCTTGCATATAAAAAGCATCAAGTTATTCATGAGATCAAATGTTTCCGAGCCACCCCAGTACTTCACCCTTACATACTTGCCCAGCTCTGCAACAAGTTCTAATATTACAAGGACTTGCGTATTTGACTGTAACTAATTCCCTTAATTACCCCCCAACTGAGTATTTCAATTTTTATGTTTAATATCACATTACTATTCTTTTACTCTTCTCTTATCAAGGGAGGGTATATTCTCTAGAGATAGCAGTTAACGATTAAGAATTGTGTCTTACATAGATGTAAGCAATCTTCTTGTTGTTATCTAACCCCCTCCAATATACGTCTCTGATACACACTGAAGTGCTGACAATTATTTCTAGCAAATGGTTTGAAGACACAAATATTTAATGTTTAGCACTTAAAGAAACATCTATCATCACGGTGAACCACTCCAACTCTGTAAGAATCCTTTCTGCGGAGCTCATTCGTTAAGGAAAAAAGCTGGCAATTTTGGAGGAATTTGACTCGCTGTCAGAGAGATGGAAAGCTATTACATAGCATGATTTCACTGGGCCCAAGCATAAAAACACCACCAAAACTTGCTTCATTTAAAATCAGACATCAAGAATAAAATATATCCTCTTCAGAACTTACCATTCCCTAACCTTTATCTCAACTGCAAGATTATGCAACAGTGCGTGTGGGTGTAACATTAAGTAAGAACTGTAAAGAAAATTATTTGATTAGACTGAGATTAACTAATTACTCCAGCCTCCATCATGTTAGCTTAAGTGTTTCAACCCTAGATAATATAGCATGATGGACAACTAAAATAATTCACTTATTAGTAAGTTCTATTGCAGATTCTCCTCTTTCATGCAGGGAAAAAAAAAAAAAAAGCTTGAAAATACCTAGAAGCGGGACACTGACATACACTGCCGTATAGAGGCTCGCACACCTATAGCACAGTCTCATTTTCCTCAGGTTGAACTTCAGCATTGAAAGCTTTGCTTTTTCACCTTTGCCCCCGTCCCCAAATTCTGCACGTACAAACCAGAGGCGAGGTACACATTATTTTTCTAGTCCCCATATCTGCTCAAATGACTTAATTACATGTCAGCAACAGTTACAGCAGAAACAAGCAGTTTACTCCAGCGCTGTATTTGTTTTGCAAATGCTCTTGATAGCTCTCTACAGTCAATGGCTATATTCTGTCTGCTTCTGCAGCTCGAAAAACCTGTTTGTGTGACCATGGTTACATAGCAGGACTAGTCATTCAAGACTGAAGTATTACATGAGCGAAACTACTTTTCTTTCAAGTGACACTCCTTGTTTTCTGGGTGACAGCACATATTAGCATTGCTGAAAAGACTGCTTTTCTCTTTGCCATCTTAACAGAAGCTCCAGAGAGTTCCAATTAACATTTGGGTTGTATTCAAAGATTTTTGGAGGCAAACATGTAGAACAGGTGAAATGCCCTCTGTATTACAATGATAGTCTGTTACAGATTAGTGACATTAAACCAAGACTTGGAAGATACCGGGGAGGGAAAAAAAAAAAAGCAGTCTAGACAGCAATGCTTCATCTGAAAAAATGTCTATTTTAACTCCCCTTCAATCCTTCACTTGTGGAGTATTAGAAGAGACTAGCAGGCTTAGACACGGCTGTTCTCACCTTTCTTTTATGTTTATTTATAGTTGTAGTCTATCATTTCCCACCTACTATCCAATTAATAATGGCTCTGCCTTTACCAGAAGGGCTGATTAAAACTACGCGTACCTCTGCAAGACCTCATTTTATTCCTCGTTCACGGTAACTACATAGGTTAACTCCTCCCTGGGTTCTGGGTGTTACGCAGCTTTGGTTTCGTGTCCACCCCATAATCTGTCTTTTTTAAAACCAGGCAGTTGTACACACATCTATCATTAACTTCAGTATAGGAATGGCCTTAGATGTCCCAACACTCTGCAGACACATTAGCCTATCTAGGTTCTTGTATTGTATCCACTGCTGGCATATCTGGCAACCTGACTCAAGGAAAAGCTTGGTAAACTCTTTAGTTCAGAGTTCTTCTACAACTGTGCAGAGTTTACCAACCAGCATTGTACAACTGACATCGCTCTTTATATGGTAGGCAGCATTAGCAGGTCAGGCTACAAAGGGCAGGAAAGTCATGAACTCATAAATGATCTGAAAGCTCATTTTCTAGCACAGCTTCACCTACTGATCCAAAACTGAAACACAAGCAAGTTCTAAACTTTGCCCTGATCCTGTAAATGAGAAATGCTGCCCCTTGGCTCCCGCACCAGCCCTCACTCTGGGAGATCAGAGGTGGAGAGAGAGAAAAAAGAAAGAAAAAAAAAAAAAAAAAAAAAAAGCCTTACTTATCATCCTTTTCATAGATGTTGAGCCCCAAGGCATCAACCCCCAGCCACAGGTCAGTTCCTTTCTTATTCTTGATTTCAAAGTAGTTGATTCCATACATCTCCAGGTCTTGAGCAATCTTCAGGTATTCCAGCATGGCATTCTCTCTGGTTGAGACAGGAAGGAGAGGAGATGTTAGCTTCTCATTTATCTATCTCAGAAAGCACAAAGTCCTCAAGAGAAACAAGTAACTTTTCCTAAACCAACACATCAAACACAAGAGTTAAAACTGAACATTCAGTGTTTGGGATTCACTTTAGGAGTTACGGTATGACACCTACGAACGCACACACACTCTACTCCCATTTACCAAGCCCTAGTATTTCTAGACAGAAAATTAGCAACATTGATCTCTTCCAGCATTCATCCTCGTCTCAGGGTACAGTCAGTGGGAAAGGTATAGTACTTGAACTTTCCCCATCTGCCAATGCAAATGCTTCAATGAACTAACTACTTTTGTTTGTACTAACAAACAAAGAAGGACTGGTTGGGGATGTGAAGGTTGGAGGCAGCCTTGGCTGCAGTGACCATGAGATGGTGGAGTTCAGGATCCTGCATGGAGGAAGCAGGGCAATAAGTAGGATTACAACCCAGGACTTCAAGAGAGCTAACTTTGGCCTCTTCAAGGGCCTACCTGGAGGAATCCCATGGGTTAGGGCTCTAGAAGGTAGGGGGGTGCAAGAGAGCTGATTAATAGTCAAGCATCACTTCCTCCAAGCTCGAGATCGATGCATCCCTATGAGTAAGAAATCAAGCAAAGGGGGCAGGAAACCTGCACGGATGAGCAAGGAACTCCTGGCAAAACTCGAATGGAAGAAGGAAGTTTACAGAATGTGGGAAAAGGGACAGGCCACTTGGGAGGAATATGGGAACGTTGTCAGAGTATGCAGGTATGTGGTGAGGAAGGCTAAGGTCCACTTGGAATTAAATCTGGCAAGGGATGTCAAAGACAACAAGAAGGGCTTCTTCAAGTACATCGGTAGCAAAAGGAAGACTAGGGAAAATGTGGGCCCACTGCTGAATGAGGTGGGTGCCCTGGTGACGCAGGATACTGAATGCCTTCTTTGCTTCAGTCTTTACTGCTAAGGCCAGCCCTCAGGAATCCCAGACCCTGGAGGTAGGAGAGAAAGTCTGGAGAAAGGAAGACTTTCCCTTGGTCAAGGAGGACTGGGTTAGCAATAATTTAAGCAAACTGGACACCCACAAATCCATAGGCCCCGATGGGATGCACCCACAAGTGGTGAGGAAGCTGGCAGATATTATTGCTAAGCCACTCTTCATCTTTGAAAGGTCATGGAGAACAGGAGACGTGCCTGAGGACTGGAGGAAAGCCAATGTCACTCCAGTCTTCAAAATGGGTGAACTTAAGGTTAGACACACACCTATACTTTTTTTTCCTCTCGAAGTCATCACTGATACACTGTGCCTAGGTCCAGGATTTTCAGGAAGCCATCCAAGAGACTGTTCTCAACACAAGTGTCAAAATCCTATTGAGTTTTACCATGTGATTTGATGTTGGACTAGAAAATATACACCAAGAGTTCCCCCACACAGGCAGCTCTTGGAGTCTGTTTCAAAAGCATGCTGTAGAACTGCAAGCTTAAGGTAATCAACCAGTGACAAAGTGACTGGCCTAGGGACCAATACAAAACACTTACTTGAGCATGCCACTGTGTTCAGCATGCCACACCTGGATCCGTTCTTCCCACTGCTCTCTGGAGAGTTTATGCTGGTCCATCACCCTACACAAAGAAAGAGATATTAGCAAGATTAGACTGTGTGTTCTGCAGTATCCATTGATGCTGATCTTTGCTATAGTCTTACTGAAAAATCAGTCCCACACATGAAGCCTTACTGAAACCAAGAGGAAGATCCTACTCAGCCCAGAGATGCACTCCCTGAAGCAGAGTAATTCAGAATGAACAAAAACCTCCGCAAAGCCTCTCTCGTCACTGACCAGAGACATGAGAGGAGTAAGCAGAATACTGCAAAAGAATCACATACACACTGTAGACACCAGAGGGTTAAAGTAAAGCAAAAGCTGGTGCCATTCCTGGAATTAGACACTGTGCAGTGTCATCAGGAAGTGTAAACAGAAGCCATTTGTCTGATAACATACACTTATCCTGTGTGGGGATAGACTACGTACATGCTTTCCAGATACAGGATTTTTAGGACTGTACATTAAGATTAAGGACACACAATCCAAACTTCTCCAGGGATGACACATTCATGACTGAAGGCTGCTCTTTTCTTCTTAAAGAGGAGACATTCATACTGCCAGTTACCAGCATAGCACCAATGTTTAGGAAAGAAAAGCTGAATTCAAAAGTATATGTCCTCTCCCTAACCAACCCAAGGAGAGAGCACAAAAACACACTCTGGCAGATAGAAATAAAAGAAGGAAAAAACCCAAATGCATACAGTTGAATTAAAAAAAAAAAAAAAAAAGATGCTTTCAGTAAAACTCTTTGTACTTAGCTAGAATGCAAATTCTTGACTTAAAAAAGAAAAATAAAAAACAACAAAAAAGGCCTCGCAAAAAAAAAAAAAAAAAGGGAGACTTCATCAGCCAACTCCTTCACCTTTGGGGGATCAGGCGCTCTGAATTGAGGTATCCAGGCTTGTGCACATCTTTGTTGTAATCTCCGAATTTGGCTTGCACAGCATAGGAGCCAAGAAGTACTGCTGTTTCAGGAGGACAGTAGATCTCATCGCTGAGGATCCCCTCCTTCACCTGCAGGAAGAAGAGCTTCTGCGTGATGTCCTGGATCAGCTCTTCATGCACATCCTCTGGGAAGAACTTGGCACGGAATTTGAACTGGAGAGGATTCTCCTTTCTGATTTCTTGAGCAGAAACCTGAGGACAGAGGCAACACCACAACTGAGCAGGGTTGCAAACAATAGAATAAATTGCTTTTACACAGAAAAAGGGATATGGTGCATTTGCCTTAAGAGATGAGTGACTGGCAGCTCATTACTGGCATTCCTTAATTCCAGCTGCTTACTGGTATGAGAACACAGGGGAGATGCATTATGTTTCCCAACTGAGCCAGTAAAATTCTGCTTGCACAGCAAACCTTGGTCACTGGAGAACGATTTAGCATGCTTTATCAGATGGCAAACCTACCCAGTATTGTACGCTTTTGACAGAACAGCCCCCTGTCATTAAACAGGTATGTCACTGACTGCCCCATCAAGAAAAACTGTTCATACCCTCATAAGAATTGCAAGTCCACAAACAAGAGCACTTCAGAGGCACCTGCGCCCTGTTGCAACTGCCCAGCCTTGAAGTGACCTATCTTTCTGTTCAGGGCAACAACTGATCCCGCACAAGCAGAGATTAAAACCATGACTAGCCGAGATGCTCCTCCAGACACAGCAAGAATAGCTGCGTCTATGCAACAAAGTACCATATCAAGCTGCTGCTGTACATCTGACAAATGCTATAAAGCTTTCTACAATTCACACAGAGAGAAAGGGCAAGCTTCCATCATGCTGCACCTCACCCAAACAGAGGTCACAAAGTTTTCCCTAAAAATAATCCTGGAGTTATGAGAACTAAGGAACAATCAACAACAAGTACAAGGTTTACAAAGTTGCAGCCAATTACACATCAGGAATCATGTAAGCTTTAACCTTTGTTCAGCAATTAGCCTGAAGTCTGTTACCTTTTTATCAAGCTTCAGCCAAGTCTGGAATCCTTTGTTGTCCACGTACTGAAGACCAAAGTACCACACTTCTCGCAAACCTATGGTTTTAACCACCTGCAACAGAAAGGCAAAAAAAAAAGTTATTGTAGGTAACAGTTCACTTGAGGTCCAGGTATCCTCTCAAGTCCCACATCACCTGCGGATGCCATAGTAGATGACAGCAATGGCATAGGCTAAGCTACTTGTCCCACTCAGTTCCTAGGAAAAGACGATTCTGGGGAAACCGGGAGACACAAACGGGGCAAGTGACAGGCCACCAACTGCTAGACTGGTACGCTGGCAGCAGGTGGGGCTTCTGCTTGCTTTATCTCCTGGCCCTTCTTAAAACTGTGCTTGGTGAAGCAGACAAGTTACTTCTCTCACCAAAGCTTATGGTGAGATGTTCTGTAACGGTGTTAGTGCTAACTACGACTAGTTAGCAGCACCAATGGCTCAAGTGGTCTTGTCTGCCAGTCACCAAAGATTATTTGGCTGGAGGAAGCAACTAAGGGATGCTTCACACAGCTACTGCAGTAAGCTCCCTGTGCAGTTTTGAGAATTAAAACAAGCTGCAAGTATTTTCAGTCAAGGGTATTCTTTTTTTAAACTCACACAAAGGCTGGTTTTGAAGGACAAAATACATTGATGGCCCAACATTAGGACAAATTTCATTTCATATATTGTAAATACTAACCAGACGGAAGATTCAGAAACACCATCCGTTGGCTGGATGGCACACTTTCTAGTGAAAACAGTCCTGTTTGGACACGTTCCTTTTCCTCAGTGGAGGAGACAGCCTAACAAGTTCCTGACCTCCTCCTACTCTTGACTGCTTGTTCTTATAGCCCAGTACTTTGCTGCCAGCTCATCTACCTGTAAAGCTGTAATCTAGACAGAGCTGAGATCTGGAAAGATGCACTACATACATGTCTGGATCACTTCCTTGATGTTATTTGCAGAGTAGCCCCTCAAAAAGTGACGTGGGCATCTCCCTAGGGAGCTGAACTGATTGGAAGGCAAGAGCTTTTTAAAACTATTTTGCAAGTTAGGAAAGCGTGACAGACTTGAGAGGGTGTAGTTACATGTGCTTCAACAAGTTTAAGACCTTGACCAAGGATCTGTTTCACCTTCCCCATTTATAGTATTACTGGAGACACTCTGGCTGGAGAGCAGACTTGAGAGAGATAATGATTTTAGGATACTTAATCAGTTTTTGCTGTAGTTTCCCTTAAATTTTCTTACTGGTGAGCTAGAAGCCAGCAGTCTGTACCTGGAAGTCAGAGCTTCCTGGGGTTGGTAAGGGAAATTTTAATGGATAAAGATATCAGTGCCCACTAGCTGAGGAAATGGCATAGCTTCATAGCTGGACACTGTGGGCTGTATTCAGCAGGCTATAGTTTATATATTCTACTTCAGCAGGGCCATAAGTAACTAGTTATAACAAACTAGAGTTTATGTAAAAAAAAAAAAAAAAAACCACACAACAAAACCCAACAAACAAACAAAAAACACCCCAAACCCCACAACTTCTAAAAAAGAGCTGGGGTCTGAAAACACTTCAGCCTCATCTAAAATTCCTTTTTCCTCCTGCCCCAAAGTGGCTTGCTTCACCACAGAACAGCCAAGTTTTCCGACAGCTAGATATATTTTTAGAAGGGCCAGAACTGGGCTTTACCCAATCTCGCAGAAAGGCAGGGGTATGTTGAGTGTGGTGCTTCCTGTTGCGCACACACACACACAAAAAGTGTTGCAACTTTGTTAAAATAAGGAGTTGCATAAATCAAGCAGTTATCAGGTCATTATCTCTGGATGTCTCTTACAACAGAAAAAGAGTACACTTTCTCCATAAATCAAGTGAGAAAGCTTGCAGAAGTTATGACCCCTCAAGTTCTTCCCAAAACCTAAAGGCAAGGAAGGAGAAAGTATTAAGCTAAACTTCACAATTTGACCATCTGGGTTCCAATACAAAGAACAAAGACATGAATGTTTTAGTCTATATTCTGGGAAATGGTTTGTAAACTTCCTCCATAGCAAAACAAGGAAGAACTAAGACCCAAGGCATTATTTTCAAGATGGGAGACACCTTCCCCCTGCTCCTCAAATGCAGGGGGCAGCAAATCTGAAGCCTGCCCATTCCACTCAGAAATGCATTCACTCCCAGAAACTGTCAGTGACACACTCTCCTCCATTTCGATCTGTTTTCCTCATGGCCAGGATGGCACACGACAGCCCACTGAGTTGGTTCTCGAGACATCTCGGACCACTGCGGTGTAAACTCTGCACAGGTTTGGCTTTAGCAGAGCTGAACTCAACATTCACAGGTTTCCAGTATTTTCCCCTTTCTATAAAAGGGAGCTATAATCCACTTACATGCAGGATACACTTACGCTAGCAAAGCCTAAAGTACAAGGGCTCTGCCAGAGCAGTTTTGCTAGCTGACAGCCAGGCCAAGAAATCACCTTGTGGTTTTTAAAAATAGCTTGCTTCTTCAATGCCCTTTTCCCCCCCACAGTGGTTCTGCAGTTCAAATTGGGCCACTCCCTATACCTGTGAAAAGCTGTTACCTCCATAAGCTTTATCTGAGTGTAAACTCCATTCAAGATAAGGGCCTAGGAAAAGGCTTGCACAGCAGAAGTGAAGAGAGGATGTCAGAACAGTTGCAGCTAAACATAGTCTTCACCTTCCCCGGTTTTGTGCTGCACACTTCTACCTTAGTCATCCCTTCATGTGCAGATGTGCACTCCAACAAGGCATGGATTACAGATAAGAATTTCCAATCACAGGTTTTAAACCCGAGCCATAGGATGTAAGGAGCAAATCTTCATGAGGCGATAGTCTATCCCAATAGTGCAGTAACTGCTGCAACAAGCAGTCTTCAGAAGTCCAGAATGACCCAGACAGCAAGCTAGAAGTGTCTTGGATCTGAAGCATCCTTTTTTTCATGTTCTCAGGATTTTGTGCTTCTCAGCTGGAGGTCAAGAAAGTAGTTTCTCTTCTGCCAGAGAGATGACCCTGACTCTTAACATGTGTAAACATCAGTGAATATATGGGGGGGGGGGGGTGCGCGTTTTCTCACCACGTGAGGGGGGGGGGGAAGCCTTTATCGAATCCTTGTCATAAGGAACATAAGACATACTTACACTGTCTGATCTAAGGCATTGCTTTTAAAAACCTGGCTTTCAGTCATTTGGATTTTTGTACCCTCAGAGATGAAACCCAAGTTCTCTGTTTTGGGTTAACATGGAAGTGGCTGGGGGTGGAAGTCTCCCTGATGCAAGGGTGATCAGCAGTGAATAGCAGGTCAAACACCAAATGCTGGTTCCATAAAAATGTAGGTTTCATATGCACTTCACCAGATTTCCAGTCAATGAATACTTGACGTTTAGCCCACCTTGGTAATAATCAAAGGGAATTAAAGTTAGATTTAATGCTAAACACAATTTGTAGTACTCTATTTTGTACTGTGAAGTTCTGCAGTGATTATAATTTAGTTTCTTCCTTTCACTCCCTCCAAGAACCCAGTAAATGGGGTTTTCTTGTTTGTTAGGGGTTTGGGGTTTTGTGGTTTTTTTTTTGTTGTTTGGTTGGTTTTTTGTTTGTTTGTTTGTGGGTGGGTTTGTTTTTTTTTTTTTTTTTCTCTCCCCTTGAAAAGTACTTCTCACTGCGCAGTTGCCATAAGGCCTAGCAAGCTCTAGCTAACTCACTGAAATGAGAAATTGTACCAACAGAAACTCAGAAGGAATGGACGTTGTTTAGCCAGTTCTGCCCACTTGAGTTAAAGCTCAACCACCCTTTGCTATCAAGGCCAGCAGGGGACAAGGGGAGAAGTGCAAAGGAATTGCTGCAACACTTTGTAAACAGCTTAATACATGTAACCGAAGTCTGCATAGATCATTTCTTAGTTTTCAGGGTTCCAGCAGAAATAGCTAGAAGCAAGCTTTTTTTTTTTTTTAAAATTCCAGAACAGTGAGTTAAATTTTTCTGCTGAAGTCTAGGCCTTGCTTCAGTTTTATAAGAGCAAGCTACTTAAGAAAAGAATAATAAAGTTTTACAGAGTGCTCTTTGTTTATTTTAGTTGTCTTTGCCTGACTTTTGTAGGTTCATCTCCAAACAGACCTGTATATTGTTAATGCAGTAGCAGGAAGAATAACAGCAAGGGAGGAAAGTCTTGGCTACTCGTGCCCTCCACTTCCCTGGGAACCCCAGCGAGTCTCTGCTCCGTCCTGCTGCACAGGGGCTCCTTACAAGGCATGTTGCTATAGTTGCTGCACAGAAATCACAAACTCTTCCAGTTTTCCAGTAGTTTGACAAACTCAAACACCTGTGGCAAGTGGCTACCTCCAGCCCAGCTTCTGAATGAATGCAGCTATGCCTATGCCATCTGAAGACCTGATTCTGAAGAGTTTTATGCACAAAGACAACATTTCAACTTTAGAATTTAAGAAATAAATAAGAGCTAAGCTGTATTTCAAAGCAAGAGGTGCATTTTTACACGCTACCTATGCTGTCTAGACATTTTAGATCCCTTGTGACACTTCATCACCCAGCACTGCTAGGAAGACAGGTTTCACTGAAACATACCATACCTGCAAGGATTTTTGCTTTTTTCTTTTACTGCGATGGAATTTAGAGACCTTAGTTCAGACCAGGGCCCTTCGATTAGGAGGTGGAGAGAAGAGAGGTAGGTTTGGAATCCAGTCTTAAGAAAACACTATAGTCTGAAATGTACTCCAAGCTTAAACAACAAGAGCCCATACCAACCCTTCACTGACCTGGTCAAACAGCTGTTTGCCTGTAGTGTTTGGCTGGATGGCAAACTCCAGCTCTGCATCCACAGTAACAACTCGAACATTGATCTAAGGAGAAAAACAAAAAGCATTGTTTAAGATATATTAACAGCTATTTCTCAGTGTTAACATAGTACTTGGTTTACAATACAGTCTCCACACTTTGATGCACTACCCTAACCTCTGTAATACACACACTTAAGCCCCAATTAGATTTGTGTTATCACACCAGCAAACTTAATTGGGGCACTGACTCTGCCGTCTTATCCAAACTGCTCTGCAGGTTTTCCTACTCCACACAGGATTTGACTGAGCTTCTGGTTAAACAAGAGGGCATTTTAGAGTTGACCATTTCCAGGCCTAAACCCCCTTGGAATAAGAGCTCCTGTGAGTGCACAGCATAACTGTCTGCAGGCCATCCCTTGGATTACGGAAGGCCCTAATGACTAAATTAAATTTAAGACTTATAATTTAACTTCCATTTATATTAGAGCTGGAATTAATCTGAGGTTTCAAAGGCAAAAGGCAGCAGATTATTCCTACGAAGTAATCAGCATTAACCCGATAAACATTCATTCCTTCCCTCATATAAATCTACTCAGTACATAAAAACAGCAGTTATGGGTACTGAATGATACTACAGGGCAAGAGTTCACTAAGCTATTGCTGTTAGTGAAGAAACAACATAACCAGATTTACTGCAATGGCAGAAGCAGACTGCAAGACAGAGGTTACTATTGTAAGCAGAAGGTAAGAGTGTTTAATGACTAGAAAAAGTCTATTAGCAGTTAATCAGGAGGCAAAAGCAGCAACTAAGCTTGCAGGGACTAGCATAAGGACCAGCAAAATGGCAAATCAGGAAAGGATTATCACCAACTGTTCTGATTACTGGAGACTGTCTCTCTTGCAATATTATACTATGTCTCAAAAAAACCAACAATCCCCAAACAAATAAAAACCCCAACCTGGGATGATCGTGTAGTATAGTTCTACTAGCAAGTTAGATTTGTAGCTTGGAATTTTAAAGAAAAGAGAAGAAAAAGTGAACACGTAAACACAAGGCCAGACAACAGGTAAGCTACAGGCAGATAAGATTTCATGACAATTTCCCAACATTTTATAAATGTCACGTTACAGAAAGCCAGAGCTAACAGACCAGGAGAGCCTGCTACAGCTGCAGCACTGGTGCCCAGCACAGAGGCACACATTTGAAGCAACAAGAGGAAGGGGCAGAAGAGGAATAGAATCACTTGCTACAAAACCTTGACACTGCAGCACTTTCCAGCCACTTAATTATGTATATTTAAACTCTAGGATAAATGTCAGGTAAAACAATGCTACAGTTAACACAGAACTGTGAATAAAACAAGTTGCCTCAGCTAGTTTTAGTCAAATATATTAGAAAATTTTGCATTCCTTTTTTAGTGAGACATGAAGGCATCAAGTGTCTTTTAGCCTTTATAGAGTTGTTTCTTCCTGCTGCTCTCTCCCAGATGACAGAGGACCCTCCTACAGAAAGATGACTGAAGGCAGTTTCCAAGTCATGGAACCCCAGGACTGAACCAGAGAAGATGACTGCTTAGATGCCCTGTCACTTTCAAGCTGTATTTTTAAAGCAATGTCCTTTAAATTAGGATTTAAAAAAAAAAAAAAATCCTCCAAAAGCAACACGAAAGAACAAGCAAGAAAGGTTTTCCAAGAGCTCCTTTTCCCAACTGTAGCATTTGGGATCCATACTGGAGCATGACAGTATGCTTAAGGCTTTCTTCCTGTGCCTTAAGAACCAACTGTTTCCCAGCGTTTCCAGTGTAGCAAGGGAGGGGAAGTTCAGACACCAAATTCTCAGGAACAGCAAGACTGCAATTTGAAGATGTGACCTTAAAAAGCTCCTGTTGCTTAATCCTTCTTAACAATAAATCCCTAATCACATTCTAATCCCTTTCTACCCCCTTTCGAGAAAACGTATGCTCATAATCCGCAGTTTTGTATTGTGCAAGATATTTGTACTTCTAGCTGAAACACCACAGTGGGTGTAAAATAAGTATCACTTTCAAGTTCTGTAGCTTGTAACGGATGTGCTTCCCACTCCTTACCAGAAAACCTGCAGGCTGTTGGCTGAGCACAGAATTCCAGCCAGCACTAGTACGCTCATCTTTTATCTCCTTAGCAGTTATTTGCTAGTTAAAAAAAAAAAAAAAAAAAAAAAAGGGTAAACTCCCTAGTCTAGGGAAATACTCTCTATTACACCAACCCTAAAAGACCCTTCTGGATACAGTCCCCTACCTAAAGGATCAGCTACATAGTGAGCTATTTAGTGCTAAAGCCACCTACCTGCTACATCTCTTAAGAATGACTTTAGTATTAAGACCAAAAATTGAAGTCATCTGCTTTCCACTTCAATCACTGAAAGCCATAAGCATGCAGGAACATGACTGCTTGGTTATCCAAAAGCTTTCAAGGACACTTGGGGCGTGTGGTAAAGGTTGATTCCTGTGTTCTCAAAGGGCTGAACGACCAGCAGGATACAGAGGAATTCCCCGGTGTGCCCTCAGACAAACTGCTAGCCACACGACAGGCAGAGCAAGAAGAGACAGGCCCTCAAGCAGCTGTCCATTCAGTCAGTTGACAACTGCCTGGGAAAATCCTTTGAGTCTCCTTCCTGCCATATCAAGTCCTCTTGCTTCTCTCTCCAAACCTTAGCCTTGAAATCAAGAACAACATAATGGTTTTAACAGCGTTTCTAAACAGATGTCCTACAATCACTCCACACAAGCTTTTAGCCACAGAGAAGCTGGTAGTGAAGCAGGCAAACAGAGCTTAACCCACTTGAAACACTGGTTTAGACAGTCTGAAGAAGCCTTGATGTCTGTTAGGCTGAGAGAAGATAAGTTTGGCATTCGGCTCAGACCACATGGAACTCCCCATGGTGCCAAGATGATTAAATCAAAACCCGAGGTGCTAATGAATTCAAGATACTGTTAGGGAGAATAAGAGGGAAGGACTCAAACTAATTTCTTTCAGCAACAAAAAGAGCAAAACAGAGTTCAGACAACTTTGACAAGTGAAGTCCTGCTTACCCCATGTAGGCAAGGCAGGCCATTTGTAAGATCCCTACCAAACCCTGGCAGTATCCCAGGACAAAACTGAAGACATAACAAAAAAGAAAGCAGTTTTTAGTTGTTTCAGAACACAGGTGCTTGGAGGGGGTGTAGAGCACATGGCTGTTATACACGAAATAAGAGTTTTTAAATGCACATAGCATGCTAAAAATCCTAGAGAGTAAGATGCAACTTCCTTCTCAATAGGCTGATGCCGTAACATTTCATGATTATACTTTTATGTCTGAGACGAACATAATTAAAATCAATGACGAATAGGGCCTTAGAAGGTTTGCTTGTATGTACAAAAACATTACAGAACACGAGGTTTTCATCTTCCCCTGTCTTAGGATGCATAAAATTGCTAACAAATTTGTTCCAAAAGGGAAAACACATGCTGTTGAAAAGGTAATGCCATTTGCATTAAAAGGAAAAAAAGCTCCATGAATTATAAGAGAGAACAGAAACTGAAGACGTTGCTACACTGAACGACTGAACACTAATTCCGTGACTTCAGACTGTTACCTACATTTCCAACTGCAACAAGAGAGTGGAAGTAAAATGACAGATGGAACTGAAGAGAACTTCACAATATAGTTTAAATAATCATAACACTATGGAAAGTTCTTGTACTAGAAGTTACAGTAGTAAGAATGAGATCTTCCTTGCTTTACAGTGCCCTCAAGTCATGCATTTATTCTTACTTTTTGGGTTTTTTTTTGTTAAGACAACAACTTTTCTAATGCTAAGTCAGTAGACCAATCCATGGGACACTGCAGCCTTTCAGAGACTGCACCATACAGTATCTAACTTGGGAAATTAAAGTGCCATTTGAAAAACATTCAGAAAACATTGTCTCTTAAGAAGGCAACACATTGCAAACCAGCTCCTCTTCTCTCTGTAAGATCCAAGACCTAGATAGGAACTGAAGACAACTGCCTCTTCAATCCTCCCCTCTGAAACGCAGTTTCCAGGTGTGTTGGACACTGTGCACACACAGGTAGGTTTTTTTTCCCTAAAGTCGGATTCTTGAGCTACAGTCTGTTGGTCCAGTATCTGTCTCTGGTTGCAGGCAACATGGTATCTTTGAAGTTGACCGTCCACCTCCTGATATTTAACTGCTCTGCTGTAAAACATCAGGTGGAACAGGAAAAAAGCCCACAGCCCTCACACACACACACACAGTAAGCCATCATGGATATTTTGCATCCTGATGCATGAAATCCAAAAGCCCTTAAGTTCACTTGCATAATAAAATAGTTTGGTGCAACCACGAAGTTGTGCAAGTCATTTAAAATACCATACAATTTATTTCCAGTGAATCCATAAGATAAAGGGCAGTAAATACCAACTTTTACCCATATATACAAGACAAACCAGTACTTAACGTGTTGCATATCACTATCATTATGCAGCTCTAAATGCCTCAGACAATGCTCAGGAATGTTCTCTTCCTCTTTCCAAAGAGGGATAAAGACCAGAGTCTCTTAAATAGTAGGTTTACAAGTGCAAATGCTGGTGAAGTATCTTTCCAAGTGGTGGCAATTAGTGCTATGATAATGGAGAAACCTAGCTAGGCATGCGTTCTTCCTTCAGTCACTGGATGTCTGGAAATCCCAGGCAAGCAGCTAGCACAGGGAAGCAGATCGACCACGTAGCACAGAGGGGACAAGGGTTATTTTGCAGCACTGCACCTGCACAGCACATACTGTGAAAAACAGCATGCAGGCCTGTTAAGGTGTCTTACACATACGCAAGCTGACCGCATAGCGTATGGACATGCTTGTGCTGAAGGAATATGGCAGTCTTAACAACAAATAAGAGAAAGCAGTAGTATTAAGAATACTATTAAGAAAGCAGTAGTATTAAGCTTGCATCCTCACTTCTGCAGGTCTACTCTTTCACCACACAAGCAATAACAACTATTGTACTTGTAATAAATAACA